ATGAAGGAAAGCAGCATTGGTCTTAAAAGGACACATTTTAAAAGCAATAGCACATGATCCTACAGCTAAGGCTGGGCAACACTGCCTGTAGGGCAGAAGATGACCACTTCATGTCTCGCTTAGCCATGCTTACACTTTCTTTGTTTACATTAGATGAATTTCATCTGTGCACAGGAGACCAGCAAAAAGTCTCCTAAGCCAAACCCAAGAAAAATGTTATGTGAAAAGCCTTAGATCATAACTCTGTTGCTTTCTCTTTGCACAGGCGTGAAATGCAGGGGCTTTAAGAAGCATTATCTGTACTTGCTCACGTTTTCAGAGACATGTAAAGTAACTCACAGTCCAGTGGCATTGCTACAAGTTTTAAAGCAATACTGGCATTCACAACAGAATAAAACACCATTCAGGTGAGGAACATGTGCGTGGGAAGCAAAGGGAATCAATCCTGAATGGAGATAAAAAGTCATCAGTCACCTTTGATTTAAAAAAGGGAAGGGGAAAGAAAACAAGTTCTGTCAAAATAAGTGCTTTCTCCTGGAAATACATGAGACTTAAGAACAATCACATGGTGATTTGACTTAAACTACTGGATCATCATCTATAATCTAGGTAATGACCTTTAGCAATTTGGGGTACAGGGGAAAGACAGATCTATTCATACATCTGGCCTATTCAAAATAAAATTTAAAATTTTAAATAGTTGGAATTTTTAAGGGACAAGGACTCCCTGAGGTTTATGTGCTCAGTCCAGTGACCTGTCTACTGCTAACTTAATATTTCTCCAGAGAGTCAGAGAAGTTACAATGTTGGCTCACCTACCTCTAGGTAGGTAATGCTCCCTAAGAGGGAGAATTTTAGACTGCCACAGGGCTGTTAAGGCTTCTTTCTGAGGAGAGACATACCACAGTGCCCAGGATGTCTAAAAGTCCTCTGCAAGCTCTTCCTTTCCACTCTGCTACCCCATCACCTGTGAGTGAGTGGGTCATGATGCTGATACAAGAACCGTGCCAATTTATGGGATGCCTGTGGATAAGAACAGTCCTAGACAATGATGCAGTGCAAATAAGGTATAACAAGAGACCATTTATCTTCCAGAGACCATTTATCTTCCAGTTTCTTGAACACAGGAGGCTCCCAAGGAAAGACAAAGCACAGTCCGAGCAACCCCTGCACTGGGTCTTTTTAGGACACGATCTTGCCCAAAATTTTGTGGAGAAGGTGGATGATCCTTGTCAGTCTGAACATACCCTGTGTATCACAGGGTATTTTCAAGTCCTTACAATCATTTCTCTTCAGCAATTTTAATGGGAGATGTTGAAATATTATATTGCGATTGTTGCATTGAAGAGAAAAAGAAAAACTAATGAAATTATTTATACTTCCAGGGAAGAAAACAATGAGATGATATTGTCTTGAATGACCTTTCCTAAGTATGGGGATATAGCATCTTACACAATAGAGTCTTGGTTCATGTTTCAATTACTGACCTTTACTGTGGAGAAAATTAATGCAATTTTCATCGTAATCCACCCGTACAAATAAGATCCATACGGAAGGTTTCCACATGCTGAATCTAACTCAAATGGAAAATGTCAGCTGTTTGCTACTGGATGAATTTGACTTTAATTTGTTCGGCTGGAGTCCTTTTGAATTCTGTTCATAAAACTTTGTATATCTTTGGTACCTATTTTTGACAGAGAATTTCCTACATTATAAAATTGGATTTTTATTCTTTGGTTATTTTACCCACTTCTGTTTGTTTCCAACACATAAGATACTAAACCTTCCTTGGAAGTTGCCAAATAACTTGGCTTAACGCCACGGTATCATTTGATCCTTCCCTGTTACACCCCACTAGCCAAGCAGGGCTACATTGGTTCACCACAGGATACAAACCCTCCAAAAAAAAAAAAGCCCACACAGGAACTGTGGTTGATTTAGTTTTGCCTCTGATTTTCTTTTGAATTAGTTACCAGACCTGGAAATAGTAGCAATTTAAGTTTTGTCTGTTGTGGAGGAGATGCAAACTTTTATTCACACTACTGAGAAGACTCCAAGACTTTTTCCAGTCAAGTGCTATGACACACTCATTCACAGCAGAACTGTCTGCTCTTGAAGCTCTACAGTCATTATCAAAACCAGAAAATAAAATAAAATAAATAGAAATGGTCAACAATTAGACGACTTACTGCATGTAAGCTGTATGTAATTTGTCTATACCTTCTTACTGGCAGGCAACAAATGTTTCAGTGATGTAATTTTAAAACAATCCTTACTCAGGCAGCCTGACAGAGCCCAGAGTCAACAGGACACAGCCTGAACTCTGTGTCCAAGATGGCACAAATCCGAGAAGGCATTTATCCACCGAAGAGCTGTGCCAAAGGGACAGAGCTCTCCTATCTTTTACAGTCCTCCATGCTGGTATGTGGGGAGGGCAAAGGGAGAAAGGACGGGGGAGTTGGCAATTAAGCCCTATCATTTAAGACAGATAGTTTAGGTACAGGGAGTTAATCTGCTCTTGGGTTTTTGAACTAAGTGTCTGTGTATTTTTAATTTGTAAACAGTTCATCTCTTAGAGGGTGTGTTACAATTCCCAGAAGCACGGTCTGTTATGTCTAACAGGCAGCAGAACCCAGAAGGGCTCTGTGTGTGCGTATTTTGATACAGCACGATGATAGGAAACAGAAACAGTGACCTCCTATACCACAACCCAACTAGCAGATTTCAACTCTGGGAGCTCTTGTATTAGGGAGGGAAAAAAAATATACAGACTTCTTTTTAAAGTATAGTTGTCTGTTTAAATGTTGACATTGCCATGAGATAATGTCATGAAATTACATTTTTCTTACACTCCCCAAAGAGCACTGGCCACCCTCAGACTTGGAAAAGTCACTTAGAATAACCTAATGTACTTAAAGATGCAAGTCATCAGAGTGCAAGCATGGTCCACCACTGCTGCACAGGGGATACACACAGGGCAGAATGAAAGCATGGGACATATGCAGTGGCTGGAAATTGTCTCTTCTGGCAACTCTGTGTCAGAATTCCATAGACCTGTAACACTAGTACAACAATTAATATGAATTATGAATTATGAATTATTATTACTGAAATGTTGGGATGTAAAGGGTTACCTTGATGAGAAAGCCTGCTGGCGTCTACTGTGAGTAGTTTAAGCCAGTGCTACCAGCTCAAGAGCCTCATGAAATGGAGACAGAGGCAACACTGATTACAAAATGGCAGGGCCAAATCATCAACAGCTCAGCACTGACTCTCAGGAGTTTCCCCAAACCTACCTACTTAGTTAGAAGAAACCAAGAAAGAGAATTACAGTGAAGTTGTTTGGGGGGAGGCAAAACTGTAAAGTCATTAAATCCATATTTAAGCAACCCAACTGTATATATAGAGAGAACCAAAGTCACGGGAGTTAAATCTAGGGTAAACATAACCTAGAATATTTTATCATTGCAGCAATGAATCTCTTGCACAGCACAGGAAACAGAGGATTATACACCTACTTAATACATTTTTACTTCTCTATTCCCACCTCAGCACTTCCAAGTGAAAAAGAGGAATATTAAAATAGAAGAAAGTAAATGGGATTGTTCCAGCGAATAAGTTACACCTTTAGGCATCACACAAATAATATGCAGAGGGTCAATATTTACAGGTGTCTAGCACTGTATAGAAATTACACCCACTAAATAGAAATTATTGACTTTTAGAGATACACACTATTCCTTTGAAAAAGAGGCAGCTTTCATTTAGCAACTTCTGATGAGTTCCAGATATTGGTCCATTCAGTTGACGAATTTTACGACGCAAAGAGTAAATTATAAATGAGAACATTTAGACAATTATTGTGTGTTGCAAGAAACCTGTAATTCAACTAGATTGCCTAAAGTTCACTTTATAACTTTGACGGATTTCTGGTTGCTCATTAAAATATAACCACCACAGAGGATCAAGTTAAATTTAAATAACTATTCCCATCAATTAGTCTGCTGAGCTTCAATTCTAGGGTCTGTGACTGAGAAGAGTTAAGGTGCACTTGCCTGCTGTGGTATTGATTTACTTCTCAATGATCAACAATTTCACTGTAACACTTTTAAAATACAGAATATTCAAGAAGAGTCTTATTAACTTTGTATGCAATTTTAAAGTTTCACATCGCCTTGTGAACATTTTCTTCCTAACAGCTAATGTTCCTTTGCATGCTGTTGCTCGTTAAATAATTCCTCACCTTTTAGCTTTAAAGTATTTATAGATTATCAGATCCTCCTTCACTTACTTACGTTTTTTCAAGCTGTATACATTAAGTTCTCTTAATCTTTCTTCATATGTCATGCCCTCTAATCCTTTTATCATTTGTCACTGTGGTTTGATAAACTTGGAAAAAAATCCAATGAATTTTTCACAGTGAGAAGAATGAGTAAGTACGTTCCAATAAAATAAAAAACAGGCCTTGCCAATTCCAATTCTTTCCACATTTCAGCCGATGAACTAAAACTGTTTTTTTCCCAGGCTCTGAAAGAAACGTTGAGAAAATTCTAACCAGTCCCCCACAAATCACACTAATTCTGGCCTACTGGAGTGGAAATGCCAAATCATTTTGGGAAAGCCACTAGCACAGAATGTCATCCAACACTCGGAGGCAATGGGGGATTTTACACACTCGTGTATGTCTTTGCACCTCGAGCACCCATACACACACCTCTTGGTGCACATACATGAACATGTGCCCATTACAAGGTCAAGTACAAACTGGAGCTGCTCAGATTCAATTAATGTTCAGAGGTCTCATGGAGGTAATACCACTATGGAAGGTTACACAAACCAGTCTTCTCCTACTTTCAAATTTGCCAAACAGCAAACTGCTGACAACTGTCTTCCCACTTAATACAGATAATAAATGAAGATCTCATGGAGACAAGATGGTGGGTTTGTGCTCTCCCACGTTCCTTCTGATACTACCCAACATAATCATGAGATATGCTTACCTTATCATCTTCATCCTCATCTTCATCCAAGCCCATAAGCTCCTGCAGAAGCAGATGTCCATATTACAAAACATTACATTTATTTTTCAGCAACAGGCAATGTTCAAAAAGCTTATGATACTCCCACAACATTTCATTATACAATTTTCTCCCACTTCTACTGAAAGTCATTTAAAAAACCCACCACTTTCACCTTTCAGAAATAATGTTTTGTATTCAAGGACCTTTTTTTTTGTGTGTGTGTGATATTGTGAACAAAGCATGCAATACCCTATACAAATTTTAAGCCTAAATAAAGCACTCGTGGCTGTGTCCAGTAATTCGAAGGCAACAGGCTTTCAAATTCATTGCCAACTTTTACTGTCTGTAAACAGCTTTGTACTTAAGTCTTGCAAATGAACCAGAAGGTATGTCAAGGCTGAGGACTCTATACTCAACTTGTTCCATCCTCTCTGCTACAATGACTGCTCCCTCCCTTTAAGGCCATTACTGAAACATTAGACTTTAGAAAACACATCAGTATGAACATAATCAATCTCACGAATCACAGTCAGATTTCTATGCAGCATCATTTCCTCCCTTTAACTTCTATGCTGACAGGTAGGGGAGAAAACAAAAGACTTGGCTAAGGCTTGGAATTAGGAGCACTTGGCTTTCAATTCAGGTATTTAATAAACTGAGTCTTTAACAGGATCCTCCAGGTTTTTCTTGGTTATTTAATAGCTACATTTGAATCTGTGTACTACAAGTTTAAATACAGCAAACATGCAAAGAATGTGAGGAATCACAATAAAAAAGATGTTTTGAATTTGGGTTTTCTTGGGGGGTTGGGTGTTTCTGTTTGGGTTTTTTTTTCTTTCTTTTTTTCCCCCTGAAAAGCAGTTTCATCTAGTATGTAGAAGTACTGGGAGCTGAGATACCCAGATGTACTCTTTGGCTCTCTGGAATACCCTGAGCAGCCGAATTAACACTGATCATGGTTTAAATTTCTATAGAAGCTCCCCATCTGTAAATCATAAATCATTTTTACCAATAATCACAAATTTAGTCTCTTGGCAACTGGATCAGGAGTACAAGGTTAATACTGTTATTCACATTTTATAGCACAGAAATCAGAGAGAATTTAAGGTTCACTTTTGCAAAGACTGTTGCTTGCATTCCTCTATATACACAAAAAGTGTGTGCTAGCACACAAAAACCAAGGGCAGTGAACATGCAGCCAAGGGCTTAAGAAGCAAAAGATAAATAAATGGCTATGTAAAAATCATTGGTATTTTGAAGAAAACCTTATCTCATCTGCACGACAGATGTGACCGGGGGTAGCACCTGATTGTCTATTTTTGACCTACAGATGGTTAGAATCATAGACACACATAAAAAAGAAATCAGGTAATATTAAAGGCACTTTGACTACTTGTTCCATATGATCTCAATCCTGCAAAGCACTTTGGCAGATGTGTGATTTTGCTTATGCAAAATGCACCCCTGAATTTCACAGCACTGCATTGCTTACAGAGTGTGTGACAGGAAGAGAGCCAAATTTCTGATGGACCTTCCTTGAGTACTATTAAAATTAGCTGTATTTTTAGAGATAACCTTTTTGTAGTATCCACCTAAATGATCCTCTGCTCAATTTTTCTATTTTCTGTGAGACTGACCTCACCTGAACATGCAACAAACTCACTACAGGATGAGTGAGGGGGCTGGAAGGCATTCTCTGTGTATTTTTTTCTGGGTAAGTTATTATTGTTATTTTTTTATTGGTTTTTGTATTAAAACCAAAACCAGCTGTTTGCCTGGGATTCTACCACATGGGAAGTTATTTTCTTGATGAAATCAAGTAGTCACTGAAGACACACAGTATCTTTTTGTGTTATTCTGGACGTGGCTGAAACTGGAGAAAAGAATTTCTTTTACCATGTTTTCAAATTAAACGTCTCCCGGTCTGGATAATGCAACTTCCCCTATTTTCTAAGAATCTTTCCACTAGGGAATGGATGAAAACTGAACTAGGAGCAACTTTTCTCACTAAAACTAATAGAGCAGCTACTGACTTTTTAAATTCTACAATATTATGTCTTTGTATAAAATCCACTTGACTTGTTCAGGTAAAGGTACCAATGTCAATCATCTTTTTATCAAAAGTTGGAAGCTACACTTTGGCCTCCATTTCATTACTGTATTTATTTCACTTTTAAAAACAGAACATTATGGACATTCATGAATTTAGGCTCATTCCTAGCTGTAATTACCATTGTTGTATGAGTAAAGACAATGGTCAACATCAAACAGCATTTCATACCCCAAGAGTAGCACTTTGTTACTTTGTGATTATTTTCTGCATTTAAATTCTTTTTTCTCCCAAGTTAAAAAAACGAAGGCTAAATTTCTGGGGGAAAAAAACCACTTGTCATTTAAGGGTGGGGGGGGTGGGAAGGAGGAACAAAGGTTTTTTAAAGCCTCAGATCACAGGACAACAAAATAACTGTAAAAATAACTATATTCTCTTCTGGCTTCTACTGACTTTGCTCTTCTGTGAATCATGAATCATTAGTGTGATGCAAAGTGTAATGGCAGGAGAGGCATGGCACTTGTCGCTTTGGAAGCCTTTCTTAATTCAACTTAAAAATGTTTGTAGTTACTTAGTAAGTGAAATCCTCCTCCTACACACTCTCGTTGTCTTCTCCTACTAGTCTGAATGGTTTATTGCTTTAATCAAATAATGAAAATCGAGAGGGTTGAGGTTTCTTTTCACTAACTTTGAAATAAAACTACTGTTTAGATACACAACCAGCTTAACACCATTAAAACATGTGACACTTCGCTCAAGGGCAAACTGGGGCTGCCAGAAATGTTACTGCCACTTTACTTGCCTGGGCATCTTGGGCATTATTGACCTTCCCTGTCGTGACGAGGGAGAAATTGTAGGCAAAGAGCACCAGCAAAGCCAGGGGCACCATGTACAGCTCCACGTTCCAGACGGTGACCACAAATACCTGGGAGAAATAAAGCAGCAGAAGGGAATACACACAAGTGTTTAAAGAGAAAGACATGTAAGAAAGCCTTTCAGTCATTATCACTCCGTACATTCATCCTTGAATGTCTGTTAACCTCAAACCTCATTCATATTATTATTTTGGCAAAGAAATCAGCTCGCAAAGCGTGTGCTTTCGCTCCATTCTGTTTGAGATCATTAGGTTGCTGTTTGTTAGGTCCTCCTCCCCTGTATCTGGGGAAGTATAAGGCCATGAACATAAGGTTACTCCAAAGGCTTTATTCACTCCTTCCTGGGACCCCCTCAAGCCTGAAAGCCTTTTGTCCTTAGTGCTAGTGCAGAACAGATGCACTTATAGAGGTAAACCTGCTCCACTACATCAAACCCTAATTGCCAGGGGGTCTTTCACAGGCTAGAGAGGGTTTTTTCCTCTTGTGCAACAGGAACCATAGAGATCCCTTGTCACTCCACAGCGGATAATCAGCACATACATCTTCACCATTAATCCACCTATATTCTTGGCACAACAGCACAGAGAAAGGACTGTTATCATCCAGGAGGCAAGGCTTCAGGTTGCACATGATGTATTATTTTGGAAAGGGATCCAGTCAGCCTAGTCTCCATTCTCATACTCTTGCCATTTTTCAGCACAGCATATTCTAATTTCACTGGTTGCTTGGACTCTCTTAACCCCAAACCAGTATGAGTCTGTGTATTTGGAGTGGTATCTGACAAAACTCACTAACAGCAAAACATGAAGCCAAATTTTGATGTTTTGTCCTGCAAATTGGAACAGCAAAACACACAACTAATGTGATGGGGATTTAAAAAGCACATAGGTTTTTTTTCAAAAAAAATGTACCAAGCCAAACTGCAATCGTATCTTAAAAGTACCAACAATACCTGAACAGACTGCAAACTTGGAGGGGTTGGCAATGCAAAGTTAATAAACTAAATCCAGAACTGCCATAAAATGCATGTTGTGATCCCATTTCCTTTTCTACTCATACATAGTGTTTCCAGAAGAACTGCCTAATGCTGGTAGCAACTTGAAGCTATTTTAAGCAATCTCCTTTAAAGACAAGGCACAAACACATTTTTCTCATTTTTCTTCCCCCAAAAGAACCTGGAATGATCAGAAACAACAATCACATCTTTAGAATAACACAGGTAAGTGAAAATGAGTCAGATCCAGTAAATATATCTCAAACCACAACAAAGGAAAACTCTATGTGTGATGAGAAATCTAAATCTCTACCTCCCCTCATCCTTGGCCCATCAGATATTACACATAAAGACAATGCTGGCAGTTGTAGAATGGGATATTTATGGCAATGTATTTTGTGTTATGGACTTGAAAGCATAACCACACTGTACCAGAGAAATACTTCCCATTGCATTCAGCAGTGTGAGAATTTATACTCCTACAGAACAGCAGCTGTTGTAACTTTTAAACAAAAAGACCTGTCTGACATCAGACAAATGATCAGTTAATATCTACCACGGGCCAAACCTAAACCGAGAAACAATGCCTGTATCCGTAACCTTGCCCAAACAGCATTGCATTTTCTAAAGTGAACCTGATTTTATGTTAGCTGTTGCTATGCAAGGAATTAGACTGTCATCCTGTTCTTGGCATTTGTAGGCCAGTAAAACAATCTTTGAGATATATTCATTTATAAAATGGGCTGACATCCAGGCAATATATCCCCATGCTATTGATTTGCAGCGCAGGAATGTAGAAGAGGATTTGGTTTCCCTTTTTTTTTTTTTTTTCCTTTTTGATCCTGCTTTTCAACATACTAAAAAATTAGAAGTGATAATGATTCACACAGCCACATTTCATATGTAAGCAAGGCAACAGAAACACATGAATCTGGGCCAAGAAGGCACAGTGCTTGATCTGTCTTACAGGAGTCTTGCATGACTATAGCTAATAAAGACTTCCAAAATTGTTATATTCCCAGCTGAAAAGTCTCCCATAAATGAAAAGTTCTAACCCGAACAAGTTCATCTGGAACTACTACAACTACAACTCCCTCGGATGAATCTCTGCTTGTTTTGGTAAAGTAAAGGTGATACCAGCTCCTGTCCTACCTCAAATGTCACTCCAAAGAACAAGGATCTCTTCTTGTACATCTCTACACAGATATCTTTCTCACGTACATATAGACAGATAAAAACAGACACACACATATAAATATACATCTGATCCTTATGTAAACCCTTTCACGGAAATTCGTGTTGCCAGGTTATTAATTCAAAACATTTGCTCCAGCCTATTGGAGGGGGTTGCATTTACACCATCTCCCTGGGGCACGAGCAAACTCAGTCTTCCCTTAATGCAGCAAAAAGGTTCCACCAGCACCCAGCCAGGCAAAGTCCTTCCTACAAGGAGTCAATGAAGCTCTTGAAGAACCTTTCTTCATTCACTCAATTGCAGGACTTGACCCAATTTTAGTGCATCTGTCACCATCCTGTGTGAACATCACTCTGCTCTGCTGCAAGTGCAACACAACCTTGCAATCACAGGTCATTTAGGCAGGCTACGAAATCAAGACCTTGGTGATTTTAGATCTTACAGTACATTTTGTGTATTATTAAGTTTCAGACCTTAAATAAAACTTCAAACTTCATTACAAAATCTCACTGTAGGCTCAGTGGATAGCTCAGGCATACTGTCTCTTCCTTTCTAATGCTGACTGGTTAATCAGCTGTTGAGTTGTAACTCAGACAGTGACGCTTTGATAGAGCCCCCACATCTCCTTAACAAGAGTTGCTTTACTGCTACTGCCACAGTACAGGGAACTTTCATTACTGTGACACAACACAGACACAAGACAAATTGATTTAGCTATTCAGAAATTATTTAGCCTCGGAGGTATGGGAAATGATTGCTGTGAACATACAGTACATAATAAAAGTTCAGAGCGTGTTTATAAAGCGAATAGAAATATTTCTGCAATTTAACAGCCTTTTGAGTAGTTCTGCAGCATCAGTTTTCAAAGCAGATCCCAAGCAGGCCCATGTCCTATTTTATCAGCTCTCAGGCAGCTCCCTGACACTGACCACAGCATCAGCAGCCCTGTGACACAGACACCCACTCCCCAAATGACAAGGTTCTCAATCATGCATGTTTTTACTTTCTCCTCAATCATACCTTATGCCTCGGAGAAGGTCCTGCATTATGCTCCCTAAATTATTTTCTTTTCAATATTTTTTTGCCAAAACTCAAGAATGCTTTGTCTGCTGATGTAAATGATGGCTAATGCAAGGAACAGTATCATCTTGATTTCTTGTCATCCCCAGTCTGCCTTTTGCCTAATACACAGACCAGTAAGGGAATCCATTAACAGGTTCAGGTCACTTTCTCAATACCCCAGAAGCCAGGGACACAAACCAAGGCCCTGTTTCAAATGATCCAGTTTCAACAAACCATTTCTTTTTTCGATGTTTCACATCATTGTTAGAACAAGTTGTGTCAGACACAATCCATTACATCATTGACACCTTTTCTTCTGGGCTTCACACTGTGCATGGGAGAAGTTAAAAGGACAACAGCCGATTTCTAAACTAAGAGTCAAAAAAGTGGAAGCGAGTTTTCTGCGTTACTTCCTTTAATGCCATTTGAGAGTATAAAAGCCTATTATAGGAGCGAACAATTTAATTCACAGCATTCTAAAACACTGATCCAAACAGAAACAGAAACGGGACAGACGTATCTAGAGGGAAAGAAAAAGAAAAAGAGCTCTTGAAACTAATATTTAGACTAGAGCTCTACGTAGAAGAGAACAGCAATATCACAGCCTTGGAGAAAGGACCACTTGATTTCAGCTGATTAATGTGTTGCTATTTCAAAGGGCCTAATAACTACAAGTTAAAGCTCTGGAGGTTTGGAAGCCGTTTCATCTGAAAATCATTGAAGAGGGGTCCAACTGTTCCTGTCAAGAAGCATGGAGTTTGAACAACCATGAGAGTGGCCCTTTTGACAGCAGTACAAAAGATGAGAGAAGGCAGCCTCAACTGAAAGTAAAAACAAACCCTTAGAAACACGTTTCAAATCTGGTTTTTCTGCCCCTCTGGTTCCAATTTAGGATCTGACTATTAAGACCAGATTTTAGACGGGTGTCTACTAAAATATGCCCATAAAACATTTGTCACCAGCAAACCCACAGTCAGAGGATAGAAGAGTTTTAAGAGGTTTAGAAACCTAGCATAAGATAGTATCCTCCATGTGATTTTTTTTTCTATGCAGCAATTATAATTTTTCTAACTGTAAAAAACAGGCTTTCTTTGACCTGGTAAGCTTTTGTGGAAAAGTGAAAGATGCTGTGTTATGTGACAGAGTAATTCTTGGAAAACAACAGTGATGGGAGGAGAGCGATACATTCCATCAGATGGAAGAAATAAAAGTGAAAGGAGATTAAATGCATGCGAGGAACCCATGGTAAAAAGTTCTTTTCTCAGCCAGTGTAGGCTCCAATGTTAATGAAATGCCTCATCAACAGAGCTGTGAAAAATATTATTTGGAACTCAAAGTCTCAAAACCCACAATTCAACTGAACTCCAAACAGCTTCATGCAATTTATAAACACGATCTGTGTAATTCATGAAGGCAGGGGAAAAACTTGAGCTGACACTGCTGTGAATGTCCAAGTCAAGTTTTGAACTAAGCCAAATCACTGATTCTGATTTGAGACACAAAGATTTGCACCCCTTTTATTTACAGGGGAGAGGGATTCTGTATTTCTTACTTATCTCAGAGTTATGTAGTTTCAAGTTGCCACGTATGCACAAATGAACTCTAGAAAAAAGGAAAAAATTCTGAAAATAAGTATGCAGGGACAAACTCTCTGGACTTTTGGGGTTTTTTTTAAGTTTTCAGTACAAAACAAAATAGAGGATATTAGCCAATAATGTAAGATACTGGCTCCCCAAAAGGGCACTCAAATCCCTTGGAGGCAATAAGCCTGTCGACAACAAATTATTTCTGACAGATAC